CCTCTTGCCTCGATCGCTCCAGCCTGGTGAATGCAGGGTTTTGACTGGCCTTACACCAACCTGATCCCTTCTCTCAAACCACAAGGTGGGGGGCATGGAGGGGGCCGTGGGAGATAAGACCACGTGCCTACTAGGCTTTGCAGGTGTCTCCCCGAGGAAACAATAAGCTCCATGAGGGCAGTGACAGATTCTACTTGATTTCTATGTCCCTCTCCCTCACTGCCCAGCACAGCACTAGGCACCAGAGACACATCCATTAATGTCCCCTGATTTGAATGTCCTCCTGTCCCGTGAGATGATCTTTTGGGTCCTGGGTGTCCTGACCTCCCTCCAGTCTCTTAAAATGATAAAGCTGGCTATAGCTGAAAGGGAATGCTGATACTTACGTTCACAAGCATAGAGTTCTGGCAACCCAATTTCACTCCAGAACAGGGCTTCTAGAATGTAGACGCTGATTTCTACTACAGGTTTGGGCATGAGAAACCGGGTACAGAGGCCCCCATGTATCGTCCATTGACTCACTCACTCATTCATTCACCTACTCAATGTATTAATGCCTATTTATCATTGCTTTCCACCCCTCCCCCACACACAGCCCCCACTCCACAGGGACAAACCATGTGACTGCCCCCACCCATCCCAACCACCCTTGATTGATTACAATTAATTATTTCTTTGGTTCTTAGCGGGGGTGTACCATTCCCTAAAAAGCATTTGGAAAATTTAGAGGATTGCCTTCTATTTTAGTTGTGACCAAGCATTAAAATATTGAAGTAGGCCCAAAGGGAGAGTATTTTTTTTTAATTTCTCCCTTTTATTAGTTTGGGGGAAAAAAACCAAAATTTTATGTTAAGATAGAGGGTCTTACAAAATATATAAAAGGTGTATTGGCAGGGGACTTCTGCCTATGGCTGAGTAGGGAGAGAGTAAATTCTCTTCCCCAAAAGCAATTATAAAGCTGGACAAAATTGACCAAAACAACCATGTAGCACTCTGGACATTAACCAAAGGCAGACCACAACGGGAGCAGTATTTGTGCATGAAAGCTAGAAAATTGGGCAATAACAGAATCTGTGGCATTCTTGCCGAAGGCTGCTCCGATTCTCTCCTCCCAATTCCCAGCAGAGAGCTTCCACTAGTGTGAAGAAGTTTCTCTGCTTTGGTTAAAAGGGTATCTCTGGCTCTGGGGCAGTAAGCAAAGCCCACGCTTGGCAGCCTCGTAGGTTCAAGTGAAAGTCTCCAAGGCAGAAAAGCAGGAGGGCCAACAGCTCTACCCAGACTGAGGTTGCCAGTCATGGTTGGGCAAATGTATCCCTGGCTAAAGCTACATGCATGCTCTGTGGAAACTAGAGAAGACCCCAATCCAGCCGTAGGCTCCTAGCCAACCCCTGGGCTGTGCATGGGGGCAAAGATGAGAGAGAATCCAGCAGAAAGTAAACCGTAGGAAACATATGAAGATGGCCTGAATTTTTAGTGTGCTCCTGCTATCAGCTGTTCTAAAACAGCTCCTCACTTCCTAGAATCCCAGCCCCATGTAATCCTCACGTTGGGTGAGGCCAGCACATAGTGACCGGCTTCTAATAAAGGGAACATGGCGGAGGTGATGAGTGTCACCTGATGGCTAGGTTATAGAAGAAAGACTTCTGCCTTCCCTTCATAAGTCACTCTGGTTCTTCTCCCTTGCTGCTCTGATGAAGCAAGCTGCCGTGTTGTGAGCTGCCCTATGGAGAGCCACATTTCACAAGAAACTGAAGGTGGCCTTCTGCCAACATCAGCGAAGGACAAATTCAGTTCAATGACCTGCAAGCAACCCCATCCTGCCAACAACCAGTTCAGGAACTTAGAGGTAGATCTCCCCCAGTCGAGGCCTCAGATGACTGCAACCTGGCCAACACCCTCATTTGAGCCTGAGTGAGAGGACCCAGCTAAGGTACTCCCAGAATCCTGACCCACAGAAACTGGGCAAAAATAAATGTTTTTTAACATTTAAACTTTGGGATGATTTGTTATGTAGCAATTGGATGACTGACAGAGCTCGCCTCTCTACACACAGATTCCTCAGCAGAGGACAGACTGTTTACTGACTTGAGGTATCTGAGCACAATCTCTGTCCATTCAGATATGCAGACAAGGAAACAACACTTTGGAAGCCAGACTTACATATAAAAACAAAAATACAAGAAATTTAACTGGAAATTTCAGTGGCTTCACACTGTAAGGAAGACAGGAGTCCCAGACTGGAATTGTCTAATTCACAGACCCTGGATAAGTTATTCAACAAATAAACACATTAAAAAAAAAAACCCAGCAACAATAAACCTGGCAGGAATCAGAATCCAAAGTTGCTACAATATTTTTTAATGTCCAGTTTTCAACAAACAAATTACATGATATGCAAAGACACAGGAAAGTCTGACATACTCAGGAAAACATCTGTCAATAGACCCTGTCTCTGAGCATTCCTAGATGGTGGATTTAACAAAGACCTCAAATAGCTACTAAAATATGGCCAAAAACTAACATAAATGATGTTTAAAATGTTAAATGAAAGTATGACAACAAGGAACCAACAGAAATTCTAAATAAGGAGACAGAAATTATTTTTTTAAAGGGAAATTCGGGGGTTAAAAAATACAATTGAAATGAAAATCATCCTGTAAAGATTCAACAGAAGATTATATAAGGCTGAGGAAAATTAGTGAACTTGGAGAAAGGTTGATAGAAAGTATCCAACTAAGAACAGGGGGAAAAATGATTGAAGAAAAATGAACAAAACTTCAGAGCCCAGTGTGGCAGTCAGTTGAGTGTCCTACTCTTGGATTCAGCTCAGGTCATGATCTCAGGGTCATGAGATAAAGCCCCAAGTTGGGGTCCGTGCTCAGTGAAGAGCCTGCTTGAAGATTCTCTCTCTCTGTTTCTTCCCCAACTCGTGCTCACACACTCTCTCTCAAGTTAATTTTAAAAATACATCTTAAAAAAAAAAAAAAAGACAGGGCATCTGGGTGGCTCAGTGGGTTAAAGCCTCTGCCTTTAGCTCGGGTCATGATCCCAGGGTCCTGGAATTGAGCCCCACATCAGGCTCTCTGCTCAGCCGGGAGCCTGCTTCCTCCTCTCTCTCTCTGCCTGACTCTCTGCCTACTTGTGATCTCTGTCTGTCAAATAAATAAATAAAATCTAAAAAAAAAAAAGACAACTTTAGAGTCCAGTGGGACAACATTAAGCATATCAATAGATGTGTAATGAGGGTGCCAGAAATCAAAAGACAAAGGAATAGAAAAAAAAAATAGAAAAAACAATAGCCAAGACCTTCCAGGATCTGGTGGAAAACATTAAATACATATCTCAAAAGTTCAACAAGCCTCAAGGAGAATCAATACAAAGAGATCCACACCCAGACACACCATAGGAAGCATTTTTAAAAATATATTATTTATTTTGAGAGAGAGAGGGGCATGAGGAGAGGGGAGGGGCAGAGGGAGAAGCAGACTCCCCACTGAGCAGGGAGCCTGATGTGGGACTCAATCCCAGGACCCTGGGATCACGACCTGAACCGAAGGCAGATGCTTAATTGACTGAGGCACCCAGGCGCCCCACAGTAAATGTTTAAAAGACAACAATGAGAAAAAATCAGCAAAAGAAAAATGATTCATATGTTCAGGGGAGCAACAATAAGATTAACAGCTGACTTCCCATACAGAACAATAGAGAGCAGAAGGCAGTGAAATGGCATATACAAAATGCTGGGGTGGCGGGGGGACTGTGAATCAAGAATTCTACTATCCAGCAAATCTTTCACCAGAAGTGAAGGTAAAATAAAGACATTTCCACATACATGAAGACTAGTAGAATTCATTGCTAAAAGCCCACAAATATATTTGCAAAAACAAATGAAGCCAGATGCAAAATACTACATGTACATAACTCCATTTATATACAACTCTAGCAGATGAAACAGACCATGAAATTAGAAGTCAGGATAGTATTTTCCCTTGGAGGGAGACTGTGACCGGCAGGAGCCATAAAGGAGGAATGCTGGGGAAACTGGTTACAACAGGTGTCTTCATTGGTGATTCTGGCACATATTTATATAGATACTTTCCTTCTATAAGAGTTTACTGAAACAAAAAAGGAAGCTTGATCATACCACTTCTTCCCCTCTTTTTGAATCCCTTTATTGTTTTCCACTTCTTTCCCAATTTGAGCAAACCTATCACTTCTATGGACCTGTCTTGTCTGGTCTTTGACCACCTCGCCAGCATCATTTCTCTAGACTTGATACTCTGATACTGATACTCTAGACTTCGCCCTTCTGTTAATCCTCAAGTCTCCTGTGCTTTCATCCTGCCACAGTGCCTTTGCACATGCTCACCCTTCTGGTCCAGAGCCCCCCTGAGACCTCCTTACCCTTTAGCTCCAAGCTTGAGTCATGACTCACCCATCACCAATTCAAATCTAGTTCTTTTGTTTTGTCTACTATACAGAATTGCCTCTCTTTCCTTCAGAGCACTCATTTTCACTAGTTGTTATGGATTCATAGACTAATTTGACTGCTGCTTTATCTTTCCCATTGGTCCATATGTTTTAGGAGGTCTGGCTAGGTTATTTTGCAGGGTGTCCCCAGGCCCATGCCTGGTACACAGTAGGTATCTGATAGCTATCTGCTCTGTGAACATAAAAGTTATTGAGGCTATAAAAACTTCATTCTAATTAGAATACATTGTAGAAGGCCTGGATACCAAACTAAAGGAATTTAGATATTTTTATAGGCTGCAGGGATCCACTGAAGTTTCTTGAGAAAGGGAGATATGTGACCTCTGTTTAGGAGCTCTGTGGAAGTGGAGGTGGAGAAGCCATGAGGGAGGTCATGGCGGAGTCCCAACAAGGGACTCCAGAGGGGCAGCGGCCGTGTGGGGAAGCCGATGTTGGACCCCACTCTGCCCCCACAGGCCAGCCTGACAGTGACCTCACAATCACCCTGCAGACCTCCCACTCCCGGGAGGCCAACATCCCAGCTGTCAGCCTACCTCTGCCTCTTCCATCCACCACCTAAAGGCCACACCCTGCCAACTGAGGTGCTCCAGGCCAGCTACCAGAAACAGAGGGATCGACAAAGCAAGAGTGAGCCACCTTCCTGAACCCAGCACACAGCCAGGACTCCTAAATGATGGAGAAATCAGAGCACCTAAAGAATGCAATGCCCACAGAGAGGAAGTCCACGTGGAGAACAGCAGAGGAGAGGAGGATGTCAGACCTCACGCGGGTGCTGGAGTGGCTGGAGCGGAGGCAGGGGAAGAAAAAGCAAGTGTACGATCTCCAGGTATGGACTGTCCCAGCAAAGCAGCAAGGCAGCTAAACTCAAGGCTATTCCAATAGGGGAGAGATTGAACTTGACTCCCAGAAAATAGAAGGCAGGAGGAGCTTTAAGCAAGGGAGTGAACTAGTAGAAAAATCCTGTGGGGGAGACAGGGGAAGATGTCCATGTGGTTAGGCCAGCTGTGTTGGCCACTTGTCGCTCAAGTTATTAGACTCCTACCTTCCCACAGAGACTGGGAGGATGGGGTGCTCTCTTTCCTGATGATTACATTTCATCATTTTTTTAAGGTTTTATTTATTTATTTGACAGAGAGAGAGAGGGAGAGAGCAAGAGAGCACAAGCAGGGGATGATGCAGAGGGAGAGGGAGAAACAGATTCCCCGCTAAGCAGAGAGCCCGATCTGGAGCTCAATCCCAGGACCCCAAGATCATGACCCGAGCTGAACACAGATGCTTAACCGACTGAGCCACCCAGGCACCCCACATTTCTTCTTTTTTTTTTTTAAAAGATTTTACTTATTTATATGAGAGAGAAAGAGCATGAACAGGGGAAAGAGAGAGGGAGAATCAGACTCCCCACTGAGCAGAGAGCCCGACATGGGGCTTGATCCAAGGACTCCCAAGATCATGACCTGAGTGGAAAGCAGATGCTTAACCCTTAACCAACGGAGCCATCCAGGTGTCCTCTGATGATTACATTTCAAAGGGATGGCTTCCAGGTCCTTGAGAAGAACATTCCTGGATTATAAAGCTGGCAAGAGGCTAGGAAAAGACTTACATCTCAAAGGGGCAGAAAAAGAACTTACAAGTGCCAGTTTGTAAAGGAAGAGAAAAGAGCAGTCATGGCCCTAGAGACAGGAAGGAGCCTATCAGGAGTTTAATCAAGGTTAGGGGAGCATTAAGGCTGTCTCGGTCAGTGTTCCAGAAGAGTTTAGGGCCAATAGCTTCTAAGATCTTGGTGGTGGCAGAATGGGTCCTCCCCACTGTCCCCAGACACTTAAGTCCTGATGATGGCTCCAGGGTCAAAGGGCATTCGGTCTCCACTGACACTATCCCACTGGGACTCCCACTAACAAACCTCTTTTCTACCCTGTATCACAACTAGTTCTCATCCACGGGTCTTAATCCTTTGGGGCTGCCATAATAGAATACCATAGATTGGGTGGCTTATCAACAGCACAAACTAACTTCTTCCAGTTTTAGAGAATGGGAAGCCCAAGGTCAAGGTGCTGGCAGATTTGGTGTCTGATGAGGGCCCAACTCCTTCTTCACAGATGGCCACCTTCTTGCTGTGTCCTCACAGGAAGGAAGAGAGGGAAAACCTCTCTGTGGTCTCTTTTATAAGGTCACTAATCCCATTCTAGAGGGTTCCACCCTCATGATCTAATCACCTCCCAAGGCTCCCTTCCTAATGCCATCACATGGCAAGTTAGACTTTCACCATAGGAATTGGGGTGGGGGGAGGTCACAGACACTCAGTCTATAGCACTGCCCTTCCCTCTTTCTCCAGGAACTATGGCAATGAGTTTTGCATCAGTTTCCCCCAGAAATCCCCCAGGTCCATCATCTATTGGAAAATCAAGCTGTGTTCTTAGAAAGTGGTCTCCTCTGTAGAAGATGCTGCCTGATCTTGAATTCCCCAGCCCCCAGAGAAGAAGGGGTGGAAAATGGCATTACTAATGACAGTGCTAACGTTTATTTAGCATTTACTGTGTGCCAGGCCCTGAGCTCAGCATCGCACGTGCGTTATCTTGCCAACTGCTCCCCGCAGGGCTACAAGGGAGACACAATTCTTACCCACCCCAGCTCACGGGAGGTAATAAAGAAGCTGAGGGCCAGAGAAGACATGTGCCTGCGCTTACCGAATTAATGAAGGGCCAAGCCAGGACTCCAAGTCAGACTTACCCTGTTCTCAAGCTCATGGGCTTTGTCAGGTCAAATCCCCGTAGTCACTTCCATTTTCTCAGCTCCAACCACTGTGGTGCCCCCGCGTCTTTCCAAAACCTCCCTTCTGTGTATATGCTTACTTATTTATACTTATTTATATTCAGAAAGATCTGAATGCCCGTTCCATCAAACTTACTAAATCACATCCTGATAAACATATTTTACATTCAGGTGCTGATGATTTATGGATAGGCTACCTCCTGCCCCCATTTCAACTGCTGGGTCGCTCAGAACTCACTATCACTCACAGAAATTTACATCCACTTCTATGATTAACAGGCATTTCTTCTCATGAAAATCATATTCTAATAATGTTTTCACAGCCTTACCTTTAATGTGGCATTTGCTGGAAATAATTTTGATTCAGGAAGGGAACAAATTTTAAATTGAAAATACAATGAAGAGACACCTGGGTGGCTCGGTCAGTTAAGCATCTGCCTTGGGCTCAGGGCCCTGGGATCGAGCAGGGTATCCGGCTCCCTGCTCAGCAGGAGGTCTGCTTCTCCCTCCCACTTCTCCTGCAGTCTTGTGCTCCCTCTCCCTCTCTCAAAAAAAGTAAATTTTTTAAATCTTTTTAAAAAATAGAAAATACAATGCAATCTTCAAGCATCATTATCCTTCCCAGAGGCACCTGGGTTTTGAAAGAAACTCCTGTGATTCCAGGGAATGTCTCAGACAGCACAGGCTGGGGGGGCGGGGGTCCTTTAATGTACACAGTTGGAGAGGTGCTGTCTGTGGCCTGCTCTCCCTTCTCCTGGCATCTGCACAGGGATTCATTAATTTCTCAGAATAACCCTAGGAGTTAAATCCTCCTCTTCCCTCCATCTCTGGAGGAGGAAACCAAGCCACGGTTGCTCAGCCACCAAGCAATGGAGCAGGATCCCCACCAGGCGTCTGACCTGGAGACCAGTTCCGGCTGCTGTGTCTCCACAATGACCACAAGTAGAGACCCAGTCCATTCAGCTTTCCTTGAGGAGCTCAGGCATCCCCAACCCTCATAGATGGGCCTGGAGGTCCATCTGCAGGCCCCTCCCCGCTGGACCCTGGAACTCCCTAATGAATGCGTCCTCCCTGCCTGCCTGGTAGGAGTAGAAAGCCAGGCAGGCACACAAGAAAGTCCACATATGCCCCGAGGAGCCCCCGAGAAAAGAGAGAGGCAGGATGAATTGTGATGATAGACAGGATGGGGAGGGCTTGGGAGAGGAGGGAGCCCTGGGGACAGAGGGAGGGTCCTGGCTGGACTCTGAGACATGGTGGCCTTCCTGTGGTTTCAGACTGGAGGCCTCGGCAGGGAAGTCACAGCTGCACAGGCTGTTTGGGGGCCAGAAGGAATCCCTACCAGGTTGGGGAGAGGGGCCCTTGTATAAAGGGTAATAGGGAGCTAGGGGTGGGTTCTGAGATTGGGAGGGACAGTCAGACCTGAAGTTTTTAAGTTTTTAAGGCAGTGTGACATTACACCAGGGTGTGTCTGGAGCAGAAGGACAATTGTGGGAGTGGGGACAGAAGTGCCACCATGGAGGCCAAATCTGGAGGTGGGAGGGGGCAGCCCGCTCACCAGCGTGCCGTCCCTCTGTGGGGACAGAGGGTGGCCTCTGCCCACCAGACAATCACAGGGCAATCCTCTCTGTCTTCAAGCAGAAACCCAAGGGGGTAACTGCCCCTAAAACAAATGGGAAGGAAGGAAAGAAAGACCTAAACATCCTGAAACAGCAGAAAGGGAACCGCCAGATGGCGTTTCTCAAGCAGGTAACACAGGCTTCCCACGCTGAGAGGGGTCCCCGCTCTGCTCCTGCACAGAGCCTGGTTGCATTTTTTTTAATTTAAGGCTCTAAACCCCACCCCTGCCCCACACGAACCCTGAAATGAATCACCTGCCCCTTTCACCCCTCCATCCCTCACGCCACACACTGCCCCACCCAATGGAGACGGGTCCTGTGGTAGAGGGTCCTTCTTCCCAGGTGCCTGTCTTCCTCCTCTCAGCAGGCACTTCCCCGCCATGAGAACCCCCGGGGCCTCCCTGTCCCCTGAGGGCTGCGGCTACCCCTCATGACCTCCCTCTGAGACAGGTAGGACCAAAAGTGAGGAGTGGATGAGCAGGCACCATCCTGCCCTCCCTGCCCCCCTCACCGGCCCCAGGGCCTAGAGCTGCCTCTCCTTTGGCCCCTTTGCCTGCTTTCCAGCAAACCCTTGAAATCACTCATTTTGGGGGTGGAGGAGGCCATGCCGAGACCTGTTCCTTGTGATTTAACTTCTTTCCCACACCCCTCCAAGTCCCGAAGGCAAAGCACCAAGAAGGACGGGGACCCCACCATGCACGGAAAGATCTATGGCAGCGTGGACCCAAAGGGAAAACGCCTTAGCATGATTCCCAGCAGCTACACCAAGGATGGCCCCAGGAAATCCGGTAAGGGAAGCATCTTGGTCCTGGGGTGCCAGGTCGTCCTCCCGTCCTCCCTAATCGCCCGCCTCTCAGAGGGACAGGACGCTCACAGCGTTCCCAGAGCAGCAGTACCCACGTCAGCCCGGCAGCTGTGGGCCTTGGCGGAGCCCCACGTGACTCTTCAGGGCTCTCAGCACAAGCTGGGTGTGACCCGGATGGCAAGCAGGTGGATGTCTAGGCACCGCCCCCACTGGGGCAGGGGTCCTCTTCTCAGGTGCAGCAGCATGTGCCCCGCCCCCCCATGCCGTTCCTAAAGCTGGTGACAGCAACCTCATGAGCTCCAAGTTGTCTAATTAGGTACTGTGACAATGTCAGGGTAGTGCACAAGGTACCACACCGGCTGGCCCGAAACCTGCCATGTGTGGCTCACACCCAAGAAGAGGTACGCTAAGTTATGCCCCATCTCCAGTTCCCAGGGCTGTCCAGGGTTCGAACCTTGGGTCCACCACTCTGTAGTGAACTCAGAGTTGTGTGAACAGGAGTGGGTCCGCCGCTCCATCTCTGGGGCTTGGTTTTCACATCTATAAAATGGGACAATGGCATGACTTGCCTCCCAGTCCAGTTTCATGAAAGGAGGCATATAAAGCATGCACCCCAATACAGACTAGGTACTCCATAAATGGTGGCAAATAACTATTTCTAAGGAAAAAAAATGCTGAAATGCTCAAGTGGTCTGGACCATTGTGTTGGAAAAACTGTTGCTTTTATTGTGCCCGGCTTCTTGGAGAGGAGGTGTGTGGTTGGAGAAAGATGGAAGGGATTCCAATTAGCCCAAAGGAGGAATGGGCAAAGCTTTCCAGCAGGAGCTGCCAGTTCTCCTGCACCAAAGTGCTCCCATTGTGCCCAGCAAAACGTCCTTTCTCCCCTTCTCATTTGATACACTCAAGCCGTTGAAACCAGACTGCGCTCACTTGCCTGTCAGATTTAAATATGATTGGTCTAAATGCCATGCAGGATCCTGGACTGAATCCTAGAACAACACTTCAGTGGGGAAACCGGAGAAATCCAAAAAAGCTGTTATGTGCCCATGTTAATTTCTGAGTTTTGATGAATGTGCCCCGCTTGTGTAAGATGAAACTTACCCCTCAGGGAACTTACCCACTGAGGGAAACTGAGCAAGCAGTGCCCAGGGGCTCTCTATACCATCTTGCCAAACCTTCAGCAAATCTAAAATTACTCCAAAATAAAAAGTTTATAGATAGATATAGATGTGGGTACAGACACAGATATAGATAGATAGATTGACTGACATATGACTTATGGGAGACCCTACATCTTTCCCAAATTTTCTGTGATTCCCGGTGCGAGTCTGGCTCTGAAGTCCAAGTTCCGCTGAACCCCTGAGCATCTGCAGATCTTGATTCCAGTGGTTGCTCCCTGCTGCCTGCTCCCTGCCACTGTACACAGACACAGAATACAGCTCTGTTTCCTTCATTTGCCCCCAAGCCTCTCACATGAAGCCTTTGTGTGTAAACAGACTTCACCGAAGGTTTGGGGCAATGAAGGGAAAGAACTTCATGGCAGGATTCTACAGAAAACAAAAAACAGAATTATGAAACTCCCTTAAGGGTTCTCCCAAATCTTTTGTCCCCTGCCACCAGGAGATGGTCCCTGAATGCATTTGCCTACAGGGGGTCCCCTCCAGCTGTTTTGCTCACCCATGCACTGGCGGGAGAGTGAGCCCAGCCACCACCCAGGTCCCAAGGTTTAAGGAGGTGCTCACTCTCCGGTTCTGACTCTGCACTTGCATGAGCCCGAGAGTGAACACCTGCTTAAATTTTGTCCCTCCCGCCTTGGCTGGTCTCACCCTGGTCCTGGGCCTACCTAGCTCCCACTTCTTCCTCTCTCTTTCCTCTCCCCTCTCCTCCATCCTCTGCTGTCCTCACCCCCACAGTTCCCACTGGCTTGTTACCTGGAAGGGTCACTCACTTTCCTTTGTTTCCCTGTGTTAGTCCACACTCAAAAGGAATCTATCAAGATACTTTCCTAAACAAAGGCCGTTCCTTCCCTAAGAGAAACTCACATACCAGCTGATTAAATAATCCTTTTCATGACACTGCACAAAAATGCCAGCAGGACAGTGGAACAGTTCTTTGGTTTTCTGCATTGCCCGCTTCCCCCCAAGACAAATGCACCCTGTTCAAAGAAGGGACTTTTTCCTACCTGATGTAATACAATAAATGGCCACTGGGGGGCAGCAGGTGCTCAGAGGCTCCCAGGAACCACCAGGGCATCCAAGTGTGGCCTCCAGGAACTGGGTCAGGGCTGAATCTGAGCAGGGCAAAGAAGCTTCCTGTGCAGGCCAGCAAGAGGCCTACCATGAGTGGGCAGGATCTGGTTTTGGAGTCAAGTTCCAGACAAAGCAGCTCCTGGGAAGGGCACGGGGCCAGTTAAGGGCTGGGGCAGGAGTCCCAAGTGGAGGTACACAGGGATCGAGGAAGGGTATTCTAGAGCAGGACTTCTGGTTCTGGCCTCCCCAGCCCCACTCAGTATCCTGAATCATCGCTGTCCTGGTTTCCCTAGCAGCAGAGTGAGCTCTTTGCTCTCCTGACATTACATTTCTGTGATCCAGGGAGCAAGGGTCCGCGGAATGACCATCATCAGACGCAACACTGCATGTGACCACTGAGTCTGTACAGAAACAACAGCTTCTACTCGCCCACATTTGTAATGTTGTGGTGGCCACAGGATCAAAATCTCTCAAACACGGTGTGCCCCTCACCCCCCCCACCCCCGAGGGATAGATCACTGTCTCCAGCTCCAGAGCCCCAAAGCCAATAGAAAACAGCAGTGACCACCCCAATGCGAACCATAGTGCTTTTCAGAGCTGATTATTTCATATTTGTCTCCTCTCCTCATTTTCACAGAAGCCCCCATTCACTCCTCTCACCAGCTAAAATGTCACGTCCATCCTGCCACTGACTACCACCTTGCCATCAGCCTCTGCCCCACCACGCTGTGCACCATGGGCCACTCCCCTCTGCCCACCACTTCTCCTCCCTTGAATTCCCGGAGGACAGCCTTTTCCGTTTCCCCTTCCTCTTTCACCACTCCCCCAGCCCCTGTCGGAGGACCACCAAGTTGGTTCTGGATCTGTAAAAGGTCACTCCAGCTTTGGGCCAGTAAAAGACCCTGGGAAAGCAATTGGAACATGTTTCCAAAGTAAATCTTGGCAGAGTCTGAGCTGCTAGACTAGAAGGGGGCATTCTTTTGACTTTCTCTCCCCTGGCACCTATGCCCAGAGCTTTCTGTAGGTGCCAGTGCAGAAAAACATCCTTAATATGGCGATCTGGAGGGCGATGATAACCCTCTGTTTCCATAAGTACAGACTAAGCCCCGGGAGACCCAAACACAGCCCTCTAGAAATCAAACTTGCTTGTTCAGCCACAGACTCGGGAATATGTGTCATTTTTGCCCAGCCTTTTTCTGGGCACCAGCAACCTAGGTTCACATTTTATTGGATCCCCCAACTACTTAGCCCTGGTGTCTTGGGCGCATGACTTAATCTCTCTGGTCCTCAGCTTTCTCATTTTGTTAAATGGACAGGATATGCTTGTGAGACTCTAGTGCCCCCCCCCCCGCCACAGAAAGCTCCTTGAACACTGCTGGACACCTAAGTCACTCACTACCTCTAAGTTCACGTGTTTAATTATCATTACCATTTATATGACTACTCTTCTTTCCTACATGAGACCTACCTTGACCCAGACAGTGCTCAGATATCTCAGAAAAGGCTATGGTTCTTTCTCCAAGGGACTTCCCATTTGTGTTAATGAGGACACACAGCTCATGATTCTTCTGGAACAGAACACCAGTTTCCACTATGCATAAATAGGGACTCCTCAGGCCCCCTGGCCAGGGACCTGCTGTCAATCCAGAATGCCAGACTGGGGCTAGAGAGTCCCAATACAGCCCCTAATTGATATGAGACCTTGGGCAAATCACAGCGTCTTCCCAGGAGGCTGTTCCTCCATTTACATAACTGTGGGGGATCTAGACTCATTCCCCCCAGACATATCCCAGTAAAATTCCTGAACTTTATTGATGAAATCTTGCAGGCTTACAGGAAGAATGCTTTACTTACAAAGGGGGAAAAATGCTCTAGGTGAGAGCAGAGGCACCAAACTAGTTAAACTAGTTTAAACTAATTGGTTTAAATTAATTGGTTCAAAAATCAGCATCTAGACAGACTGAAAATCAGGTTTACGGGGGGGGGGGGCAGGGGGGAGAGTCAAGATGGCAGAGGAGTAGCAGACTGAGATGACATCAGGTAGCAGGAGATCAGCTAGATAGTTATCAAACCATTCCGAACACCTACAAACCCAACAGGAGATTGAAGAGAAGAAGAGCAGCAATTCTAGAAACAGAAAATTGACCACTTTCTGAAAGGTAGGAAGTATGGAGAAGTGAATCCAAAGAGACAGGAAGATAGACAGTGGGGGGAGGTGCCAGCTCCCGGCAAGCAGCAGAGCAACAGAGCACAAAATCTGAACTTTTAGAAGTCATGCTCCACCTAGGGACATCGCTCCAGAGGCCAAGCAGGGGTGGAGCCCACATGGGAACAGCATGGTCTCAGGTCCCACAGGGTCACAGAAGGATCAAGGGTGTCTGAGTGTAACAGAGCTTGCAGGTATTAGAGCGGGGAAGCCAGCTACAGAGATGGAGTGGAGGAGTGAGCTCTCAACTCGGGGTTACCTTAAACTATGATCCGTGGCACAGTCGGACCACTGCTCTTTGAGCAGGGACTCCACAAGTGGCAGATCCAGGGAGACTCACCTTCCTCCTCTGGAGGCAGGAATCTACCTTGGGCTTGGAGACTTCAAGTGGGGCTTGAGTCATGTGCCAGAGACAGAAACACTTGGTCACAAGCCGGGTGAGCTCGGAGCACAGCTGGAGACCAGGGAGATGGGAGGGATTGAGTGCTTTTCTCCGAGGGTGAACTGAGGAGTGGGGCCCCAAGCTCT